GAGGTCAATCCTCCCCCCCTCGCGGAGCAGCGCGGTCGCCCGCTTCAACGCGGATATCCCGATGAAGGCAAAGAGCATCCGCAGCAGCGCGGCGCCCTTCTCGTAGCTGAGGATGTCGAAACCCCGGGAGAGGTGGCGGGGGCGGGGGTCGCAATGGCGAAGGGGGTGCGTGCGCGCCGCCACGGCATCCACGGCGAAGGTATCGACCACAATCATGCTCACGAACGCATCCCATATCTGCCACCCCGGGAAGCAGGCCTCCACGAAGTGGTACTCCAACATCCGGCAGAGCCCCTCCTTCAACCAGATATCGTTCCACCACTTGATGGAAAGCCAGTTGCCGAACCAGTGGTGGCAAACCTCATGCCCGACCAGACGGGCGATGCGCTGGCGCCGCTCAAGGGGCGTGGCGTCGTTCACCAAAAAGTACGCCATGTGGATGGTGATCATACCCCAGTTCTCCATCCCCAACGACTGAAAGCACTCCAACGCAACGAGATCTATCTTCTTGAGCCCAACCCCGAAGTTGAAAAAGGAATGAAAGAAATCAACCGCCTTGTCGAGAAGATCGAGCGCGAACCTGGCGGAACTCACCGGCTGGTCGTATGGAAATACGACGCGATAGAGGATGCCAAGCCTCGAGCAGTACCGCTCTAAGGTCGAGAACTTGCCCACGTTAAATCCTACAATACATGTTTGAATCGGCGGCGTGTCTTCAAACACAAAGCGGCGCCAGGAGGCCCTCGTTTGGGTGCTCGTCGATATCGCGGGGGCTGAGGCACGCCGAACGTCGTCGACTCGCTCACCCAATTCTCTCCCACTGGGGTGGCTTTTTTCAACCTGCGCAGGGCCGCTCAGGGGTGGAGAGGAACCCCTCGAACAGCTCGGCATTATCCACTCATGGATTTCCTCCTCACGCACGAGCGGCATGTTGGACACCACGATGTAGGCCGAGTCGACGATAACTGCCAGCCGGAAGACGGCTTTGAAGCACGGCTCGTCGAAGCAGGGAAACAATTTCCGGGCGTTGGTGGGCTCGAGATGCGTCGCGAGGAAACCCGGATCTGATCTGCTCGACTGGAACAACCCCTGAGAGACCGTCTCGGAGTGAATCACGCCCTCGTAAAAATCGACGTGAAAGGTAAAGCGCTGCCCGGCCTCCAGTGGGAGGGCGCCGTCAAAGTGAAACTCGAGGGTTTCACTGGTATCGGGGCGCCCCACAACCTCGACACACTTGAGGACTTGCTTGTTCGCCATGATGATGAACACGTCCTCTCGCCAGATTTTAAACTCGATGCCGTGCAGCACCAAACAGCATGGGGGTCGTTCTCCAACGGGGTACGCCTTCCCCCCTGCCGCAAGCGCATCGGCGCCCCCTACTTCAATCTGAATGGCCTCCCTTCCCCTAAAGCAATGCTTCGATGTTATGGGTTGGAACTCTAATTCATACTGAACAGGCACAAAGTGCCCTGAGAGACGATAATATTTGCTATCAATATCCTCCTCGGATCGCGAAAATCCGACGCTACTTGAGACGTCTGGTAGTTTATCGCCATTCTTATGCACTGGTATGGTTAAATTCTCTGCCACGACTCTCGCCATGATGGAATCCGCTGTCTATCACACCGTGGAGCTCCCTAAAGCCCTTGTGGTGCAATTTACGCTACGGCCGCTGGGAATTTCGAAATGACGTGGTGTGCCCTCCCCCCCCCTGTGGCTAGTACGGCTCGGATAAGCCTTGTAGCCCACCCACGCGGAGACAGCAGATACAATAATGACTCTTGCGTAAAGCAAGTCAAGTGTAGCAATGGAAAAAGCAAAGCAGTGTATGCTGATCTACACTCCGTCCCCCGTACTTCTTTTATCCTTTTCAAAAAAAAAAGCAAGCAAGGGTAGCAAGGGATGGGGTTCCAGAAGCAGAAATGAGATCGCATTCAGTAAAAAATTCCATTGAAATGACCAGTTCTAGTTTTTCGAGAGGAGGGGAAGGGAATACACGAGAGTCTACCCAAAACTATTTTTTCACATCCATCTTGGACAGGTAAGAGAGTGGTTTCTGAAAGAGAGAACGAGCATCGTGCAAGATGCCAACCCACGCCTCAAGAAGAGCAACCTGCAGGGTCCCTAGGGCATAGCATTTGAACGTTTCACGACGGGCTTTGGATTGCTAAGTGAGAAGGCCTCCCACAGCCGCACGGGCTAAGAGGGTAAAGACACCCCATTGCCATTCGGGGGTGCCTCGAGGGCGCTCCCAGCCTCCGCCGCGCCGGGCCCGAGGTACGCGAGGACGTCTCGCAGAACCTTTGTTTTGTACGTGAATTTCGTTGCCAACTCCTCCAAGGCGCGCGTGCTGACGACCCCCTCCACGTTTCGCATTTTGCACTCCGGGCAAAACCACGACGTCCCGTGGCGGGGGCGCCCCCCCACGTTCTCCCTTCCTGCCGCGATCTCGCCTTTATTACGCGGGTGCTCGAGCAGGCAGGGAGAGCAGAAGGTATGGCCGCAGGGGACGCAGGTCCGAGGCGCCCGCAGCAGCTTAAGGCAGCTCAAACACGAGTACGCGCTCTCGCTCGCCTCCTCGGCAGAGAGCAGGCAGCCCACCGCGCTGATCACCGCACGTTGTTTCTTCTCGTTCGCGGTCTGCTCCGTCTTGAGGCTTCCCCGCAGGGTCGTCAACTCCGCTCGAAGCTCGCTCTCCGCCACCCGTGTGGCCTCAAGTTGCTTGAGGAGCTCATCCAGCTCACATAGGTGTTGACGGTCCCGTGATTGGATGATGTCGAGCAGTCTGGCAGCCTCATCCCGGCGAACCGCTGCCATGTCATCCTTGTGGGTCGACTCCAGGCGACGCGATTGCACTCTCCAGAAGTATTGTACCACCGATAAGCGATCTTGATATTCCTCGAAGTATAGCGCACAGCGTTTTTGCTCCTCCGCATGCATCAGCTCGCCAAACGCAGCTTGTTGTGAAAAGTGGATACGCCGGTAATTTGCTACCGCCAATTCGACTAGAGTGGCGCCGACTGCACGCTCTTCACTTAGACGACGCACATTCTCCTCGTCCAAAATCACCATTCTCGCTGTGGTTTCACTATTCATGATCTCGATCACTCGGCCCCATTCCATGCGTCTCTGCTCCTCGGTGTGGCTATTAGTGAGCTGTAGGCGATCCAACTGTGCCTTTAAGGATTGCACTGTCTGCTCGAAATCTCGTTTAGTCTCATTTAGAAGCTGCTCTTTTTGTTGGAGGGACTGTTGAAGATGCTCGCGTAACTGTTTCATCTCCAGGGAATGTTGAGCCTTCAGATGGCTCTCCACTTGCTTTCTATCCGCCAATGTGCAAGTATGGTTCGCTTGAATGGTTTTGATTTGCTTTTCGTAATCACGGATCGCTTCAGCCAATCGACCCTCGACCTCATGAACCTTTATAGACATCTGACAGGCCCTTTGTTCTTGAGTTTTTGCGTATGATTGACCAGCTAATGCGATGTCAAGCATTACCTGACCCTTGCTATTCACATATGAATCCAATAAATCAAGGTGTTTGTCACATACATCATGCAACACGGTTTCGCTCCACAAGGCAAACTCATGGGCACAGCTCCGCAACCAATCACATCGTTCCTTCGATCTTCTTTCGTGTTCCTCCAAATTCACCTTCGCTTTTGCTAAGGTGCAAGGCATGGTGTCCAGCAACCCGTGAGCAGATTGTTGCAACCTCTGCAATACGCCTCGGCCATGCGCCTCGAGTTCCTCCAATTGCCGACGGGACCCCGCCTCGGCAGGCTCAATCGTCGACTGGACCACCAAGGAGAAGTTCAACTCTGACACCGCCTTACACGTGGTCGATAGCACATGTTGAACAGTTGGCGAGATTACCTTGAGACTAGAAAGCAAATCCTGGGCAGCTGTCTCCATCCATGGCTCCCAGACCTCCGCGTCAATACGATCCGCGTTTTTACTAACGTCGCCAGCGGCTTCCGTTGGGTTCCCACCCTCATTCGAGGGCACCCGCGGGAACCCCACAGTAGAAACGGACGCTTCGATGGCATCTACACATTCCTTAATGGCGGTGCCGACGCGTCGGACGAGTGCCCTCACGCCACTCTGCTGCCTTTGGCGCTCCTCCTGCGTCTGAAGAGTGGCTTTTTGCTCAAGGTCGGCGATGTTGGCGTTGGCCTGCGCATATTTCAGCTCCAGCGTCTCTATTTGTTCGGATAGGCTCGCCTTTTCTTTGGACAGCCCCTCACACATTTCTCGCAGAGTACTCTGCTGTATCTCTGGGGCGGACAGCGCCGCCTTGTAATCTTGTCTCTCTCGCTCTGTATCGTCCTGAAGTTTCTTGTACTTTTCCATGATATTCTCTAACTCTAGCTGGACCGCCAGCAGCACCTTCTCGCTACTGACTGCGTCTTTTGATGCCTCCTTCATGCCCTGCAGCTCCGCCGTAACCCGCGCGAGCTCCGCTTGATCCTGCCGGTACATCCCGCTCAAGCGCTCGAAATTTCGTTGAATCGCATTAACGCTGTCTGTTCGAGTGTTTAGCTCACGCTGCAGCTCACCAATAACTCGGAGAAGTTCCGCTGGAGGTGTTTTCTCAGACAGCTCACGATAAGAAGTATCACCTGTGCTGGAGGAAGGTGTTTTTGTAGTAGGGTTGACCGGTGGGTGCTGGGAAACAATAGGCGGCAAGAGTGAATCATTCATTCGATTCAAGGATGGGAAGTTTGCGGCACCTCCACTATTCATGCGCTTCTGCCTTCTCATCATCTGCGCAAACGCGCTTCCAGAACCCGTCTGCCTAGAGGCATATGGATACATCACGGATAAGTCCCAAGAGAAGTTGATTACAGACTTATCCTCACTTTTATGTATCCCGTAGGATATCGCTTGAGAGACATAACAAAAATATGCGAAAAAAGAACAATAATGCAAAGAACATGATTAAGATAAAATTGGGGCTCACGAAGAATGATACACAGCGCTGGTTGCGCTCCTCGGGAGCATCATTTTCGTCTCCTTCACTCCCTTTCAGGAACTGACGTTCATATTAGTTAAAGAAAGAATATTTCAGTAAAATAAAAAATCTCTAAAGGTGATGTTGACTATGTTTCATGTATTTTAAAAAAGACGTATAAGTGCAGCGAATGCCACCTAGCGTGGCTCCCTAGTCTCAAAAAAATTTCTGCGCCCCATCATCTACATACAAATTCTATGTGAAAAAATACCCTCACTCACAGCAAATTATACATAATTCAAAAAACGCTGATTAAAAAAGTTAAAAACTTCGTTTCTTTAATCACTCGAAAAAAAAATAGCCTCTTGCCAGCCTTTTGGCATCAACTACACACAACTCAGATTAGTACTATAAAATGTCATTGTTGTTGGACCTCGTACAGTCAATAAATGTTGTCATGTTCATTTACTTCACTTTCATTTAGACAAGTCGGATTAACCGTCGATATAAATCGCTTTTTGAGTTGAACTATAGCAACTAAAGTCAATGCTATGACCGCAATCAGTAGTGTATCCCATAAAGTAATTATTTGGCCCTTGGATTCTTTATTATCAGAGCTCTGGTTCTGTCTAGCTAAGGCACCGAATCGGACGCTAAGGTATGTCTGTGGAATGATCCCCACGAAAGTGGCTGCCGCAAGGGTGCTGGCCGGGACCCCTACGATAGGTGAAGCGAGATTCACCAACCAATTCGGAAGGAAGGGCGTAAGACGCAGAAAGAGTATATAAATGAAAAGGTTTTTACGGTGTTGGTTAACCTGAGTACGAATATTATGAAGGCCTTTTCCCTGCATCAATTTTGAATCCACAGACTCAACCAATGAGATACCAACCACGCTGGAAAGTGTATAGCAGCACAACGCGCCTATGGTCCCAAGAAAGGTACAGAAGGGTACTGCTAGCAGCGTGCCCATAATTGCCCCAAGCGCCGCGTTCAGCACCACGGTTCCCGGAATGCAAAACGTTTGAAGACAAAGATAGACAAAGGTGATGAACAATACCACCTGAATACCATTCTTAGAGACAATGAGCCGCAGACCCCTACTGAAATCCGCGATGCCGCTGCTTGTGCGCAGTGAGGTGCCCTCCGCAAAGGCCAGCGACTTGATCTCGCGAACCATCTCCGAGGAATGCACGAAGTAGCAAAGTAACACGATAATACCCGTTGTGAATAGACAAGCTAGTAGACAGCGACGAAGTCGTTGCATGGGGAGAGCCTTCAAGGTCCTTGCCATGAAGAATCCTTTGACTATAGACATCCTTCAGGGGATATATGAAAACGGGAATATACAGGTCGTAGTATGCTGCCAAAGCGAAGGGTATAATGGAACCGCAACTGAAAGGAACCCAATTCGAATCACAGGAATTTTTGGGGAAAAATGACTAGAATTAACGCGGAAGCAAAAGCGGGGTTACGCTCAGAGGAGGAAAACAAAGAAAAAGGCGACGACGTACTCTAAACACCCGTTGGAGAATATCCTGTTCTCACACAATGTGATATGATTTACTATAGATGCGATATCGTGGCCGAATAAGGTAGAATGTCTACTTTTCATTACACGTAACCGAAGGTGAGAAAAAAAAAGAACAACAAGGGGGTTCGGTAATCCATTAAGGGGGAAGAAATTAGGCTTCCGTTACGGAAAGTCCAGCGGCATAGGCTTCCAAGAATCCTCAAATACGATAAAGGGAAAAGTGTGTATCTATTCTTCTCGTTCTATTCATTCGCTCCATCTGAAGCGATCCATGATGTCAAAATAAGGTGTCCTTGAAGGACGCCGTCCACCACATACTCAGTTGACAATAATGATAATAATAAATGCAACTGATACAGAATGTTATCGTGCGTCCTTAGCAACAAGAAAAAAACACCGTATTGGAATGCGTAGCGATGCACCATCCGAGAGCCCTTTCTCTCCCTACTTCACACACCCACTGCCGAGTGTCCAAGGCCGACGAAGGAGCCGTGCAAGCCGCCCACGCTACTATGGCGTAAATTACCAATCCGCGGTTACCAATCCCTTGGGAGAAAAGCCGCCCTTACCCCGGCGATCTACGCGATGCGCGGCACCGCCAGGGCTGGGAGCCCCCCCCCCCTTTCGCCTCCTCCGTCGATCCTCTCGTCGTCGTCGTCGTCGTCGTCGCGGTAGCGCTTCCGCAGGGCCTCCCCGAAAAGCCGGCTGCGCGGCTGCACCGCCTCGTCGTCGCCGTGGCCCTGGTCGAGGACGGCCCGCACGGTGAGGCCCGCCCCCTCGCCAGTGGGAGAGGCCCCGCGCAGGAAGGGGTCCACGGGAAGGGGGGGCTGGGAGCCCCCGAGGAGCTCGACAGGGCCGTCGTCCACATCAATGCGAGAAGGGAGGGGGGGAGGGGCCGCTGCGATAAATGGCGACGGCTTTTTGGTTTGAAAGTCTCCACGGATCTCGACAGGACCGTCGCGAGAGGCCACTCGCGGAGGAGCAGTCGGAGGGATAGACAGGGGAGCCGCCCGTCCGAAGGGGTTCATCGGCTTCGTGGCAGCGGGTAAAGGCGGGGTTCGTGCGACCGGGGCGGGTTTGCGAGCCTCCACCGTCGTCGCCGTCGTATTCGTCGCGGTGCTCTGCGTATCCGTCGGGAGGACGAAGGTTACGCGCTGCCGCGTCGGGGACGACTCCGCCGTGGTGGTCGAGCGGCCGCCAGGGGAGGTCCCGGGGGCCTGGGGGCGATCCCCCCCCCCTTCGGTTGGTTTGGGCGGCGTCTCCGGGTTGGTCGGGTGCGGCGTCGTCGGTGGTTTCGCTCGCGGCGGGGTGGTGGCCTCGACGGGGCCGCCGCTCTCAGGGCTTTCCGCAGCCTGCCGTTTGGCCCCGTTGGGCTCCCCACGCTGCAGGCCCTCCTTCTCCTTCAGCAGCAATTTCCGCAGGAGGAGGTCGCGCTCCTTCTCACTCACCGCCGATCCCTCCAGCGGCAAGGTGCACTTTCGCTTGCTCCGCGTCTTCACCCGCATCTCATACACGGAGAGGAGTTTGTGGACGAGCTGGGTGTGGCCCCGGCTGTTCGCCTCCTTCGCGCACACCTCCACATTATCGCGCAGCTCCATCAGCGTGGCGAGATCGAGCGCACGTGTGGTGAGCTGCTCCTGCAGAGCCCATCGAAACAACCCGAGCAGCTTCTTATCATGCCACGCGTCATGCCAGGCGATCGCCTGGGTGTACACGCTGCTCTGCAGCTTCAGCTCATCCGCGCGGATCTCGCGGCGGAGGAGGTGATCCCACGTCCCCACATCCTTCTCGTTGATGCTGCGGGTGAGCGGGAGGAAGAGCGGAACGTGCTCCGTCGGCAGCCCCCCTGAGACCGCCGCCGGGTAAGGCGACCCCGCCGCCGCGGAGGAGCGGTACGCGTAGAGCGACTCGTCATTCACCCCCCAAATCCACAGATTCGTGCTCGCGTCGGCGAGGGAACGGGGGTCGTACACCGGGATCCAGGAGCCTCCCCAGCTCGCCGTGTACATCCGCACCACCCCTGCGGTATCCACCGTGTGCAGCGGGCCGTCCTCCGACCAGCCGAGCCACTGAAGCTCGTGCGTGGAGCCGTCGGCGGCGGCCGTCAGCGGGACCACCCGCGCGGGAACGACGGTCGAGCGGTTCGCCACATTCATCACCTCCATTTTGAGCTCCCCGCCTTCGAGAAACACCACCGCGAGGGGGTCGAAGTCGACCTTGTAGCTCCCCATCAGCTTCCGGCTCGAGGTCCCCGCCATCGCGACGATCCGCGGGAACTTGCTCAGGACGCCGATCTCCAGCCCGGAGAGGGAGAACAGCCGGAGGTAGCGGCTCGTCGCGACCGCGATGAAGTGAATCCCCGCCGCGATGCAGCGGACGGTCTCCCCGGGGAGCAGCCGCACCCGCCAGTCCGACTGCGCGCCGAGGGAGACGAAGGTGCGGAAATACACCACCAGCCGCGGGGCGTCGTCGACGCTGTCGAGCCCGGCGGCCTCCCCGCTGACGTCCGGCGGGAGGATGACGAACCCCGCGCCGACCGGGCTCAGCGTCCCCATCAGCACGACGCCGTTCTCGTGAACCCGGACGGCGGGGTAGGAGATGTCGTGGAAGTGCACCGTCGCCGCCTCGCGCGTGCAGTGGATGAAGCCAACGGCGTTGTAGGCGAGGTAGCAGCTCCCCTCCTCGCCGGCGGGGGTGGCGCCGACCTGGAAGGCGTAATCCCGCACCACCGCGCCGGGCTTCGCCAGGGAGGCCGCCCCCCCGACGTCGGCGCCGTCCACCGCCGGATGGAGCTCCGAAAGGGAGCTCCGATCGCCCGCGTCGGAGCCCCGCGCCTCGTCATCGGAGGCGACGACGCCGGTATTCCCATCATCCCCATCGTACGCCCGGTGGCGGCGATTCCGCTCCCCGTAGCCGTCCTCTTCGTACGCCATCTCATCCTCGGCCTCGGCGTCGCCCGAGGAGGCCTCCTCGGCCTCGTCATCCAAAAAACGCGACGACTGGCGCCGAACACTCGCCACCACCCGCTTGGGATCCTCTTTGCGCCACCTCGACGGCCGTGCGCCGCCCTCCACGTCGACAAAACCCGATCCGCGACTTTTCAGGTCGGATACGACCTTCTCCAGGTCCTCCTCCACCTCCTCCGCATCCCCATCGGTGCTACTTACGCTGCCGGAATCGGAGGACGAGTCCGCCGCATCACTGCCGCCATCGCGACTCCCGCTGCTGGTGGACGCATCGTTGATAAAATCATCCTCCAAGGCGACGCGCTTGGAGGATCCTGGTCGCTCCTTCCTTGACTTCGCCTTCGCCTGCCGGTCGATGAATTGGCTGCCCTCCCCGACCCCGGCCTCGTCCTCGTCCTCGTCGGGCGTCTCGGAGCCGGGAGGGGGGTTGCCCTCCGCGTTGGCGGCCGGACGCGGGGTTTGGCGCCCCCGCGGGGCGGCCGCCTTGCCGGCGTCGAGGCCTTTTAACGCGGCGCGATGCAGCAGCGAGACCTTGCCGTCGCGCAGCCCCACCACGACGTCTCCGGTCCGCGAGTTCACCTGCATGTCCGTGATGACGGGCCCGCCGTCGTACTTCTGAAGCCGATGGTGCGTCATCGCGAGCTTGCCGCTGCTCACCTTCGCCATATAAACCCCCTCCTGCGAGGCCATCACGCACATCATGCGATGGGAGGATAGGGGGTACAGGCCAACCCCGTGGAGGTCGATCAGCTGCTCCGCATGAAGCCCACCGATGCACCGCATTTGATACCCGGCGGGCGCGCTGAGGTCGCCGCGCAACTGGTAAATCAGCACCTCCACGGCGGTGGGAACGGCAAGGACGGCGCCGCCGCCCGTGGGGCACCATTGCATCCGATACGTACACGCCTCCTCCCGCTTCGCGGATGGCGACAGGACGTTAGAAAAGACGAATTTGACTTTGCGAAGCGCGTCGGCCTCAAGGAGCTCCCGCTCGGACGGCGGCGCGGAGGTTGGGGTGGGGAGATCAGCGACGGCGGTGGGTGGCACGACGCCGATGACGGCGACGGATCCGCCGGCATTCGCGGCCGCCAGGAGCCTCCCACAGGGCGAGAGCGCTAACGCAACCAACGGGTGCGGTATGGGGAGGGGAATGGTCTGGATGTGGAAGCGATTCGAGGTCATATGAAGGCAACGCAGGGAGTCGCCGCCGACAAACACGCGCTGCTGCGTCGCGTCAAAGTACAAACAGCGAACCTCGCCCGTTACGCGGCAGATAACTCTCGACGTCGACTTGCTCGCGTCGTCGCCGGTCTCGTGAATGTTTTCGTGGAGGACGATTTTGCCGTCGCGCCCGCACGATAAGCCGAGGTGCAGGGCGTCGTGCAGAACGACGTTGGTAACCCCCGATTCGTGGCATTGGCGGGCCCACAGCGAGGCGCTCTTCGGCCACCGCTTGACGGGAAAAAGGGCGACCACGCCATCGGCACCGCCGGTGAGGACGTGATCGCCGTCGATGGCGACGCGCGTCGTCCCACCCTCGTGCACATCGCGAAGAGCCAACATATGCCCGGTGGTATGGATGTGCTTATATTACTGTAGGACCCGCACACCCCTAAATAATGAAAAAAAAAAAACGTTTCGGATTAGATGAGTGGACGCCAAAGTATTTTTTGAGATATGACCAGCTCCCTCAGTCAGTGTGTCTATATGGATATCAATATGAATGGATAAAGATACTAATGCAGCTTTCGTCCTCTGCCTTCGATATCGCTATTGAACCTAATCTATGTTGTATGTGTGGCTTTATGTGTGAGTATATGGTTCTTAAAAGATCCTTAGTTTTTTAAAAAAATATCCCCTGTAAATCGTTTAAGTGGAGACATAAAACCTCAAGAGAAGCGAACGTGTAGTAAATACATAAAACCCACAAAGTCAAAGAGAGGATTCACCAAAGGAATTGAAATTCCATCGCGTATAAGTAATGTTGTGTATGAGTTTTTCGGCAAACAATTCCGTCCGTGGAAAAGAAAAATTAATGATCATAGCTAATATTATTTGGTATAAGTCACTATTCCTGCTTAACTTTTCCTCGGAGTGGAAAATATAAAGTAAGTGCAACGAGAAATCCCCGAAAAAGGATCGAAACGCGGGAGTCACGAGTATCACCTGCATGAGCTCATGAAACATTGCGAAATGACTGAAAGGAAAACAAAAAGGCAAGAACCCCAAAGCATGTCATCACTTATTTAGTATCCTGTTTTCTCAAGCGAGAAACACCCCCCCCCCCCCCTCCTCCTCACTGATTATATGAAAATCAAAATAATGCTAAAGTTTTAGATTGAATGAAACTCAAAGGTTGCCAATGACTGTTCAAATAAATATACGAACCCTCCCCCTCCCCAGAAAATACTCATCCTTCAATGGATGACCCTTTCCTCTTTTCTATTCGAATCGGGAAGTGATAGGTCATTTCATATCACCACTCGAACCCATGTATATATTTATATATGTACATATAAATATCAATTCCTTTAAAATGTAACTTTCACACCGCCATCCGACTCGGAGCACGGCATCCATTGTATTCACCGTTTTGCCCTCATATACGCATCTTTGCCTTAGGACGCCTTCGCCGTTGAAACGAGGCGTCAAAGGTTCGTCGTGGTATCCTTGGACGACAGAGAAAACTCTCGCACCTGCGCCGACCGCTTCTTCGCGCGCTGCACCGCCTCCATCAGTCGATCCAGCGTCGCGTTGGCGCCCGGGGCGTCCTCGCGACTACGGCCAGCCCCCCCAACGGTCTGATCTGGAGGGGTCCGAAGGGATTCATCGCCGAGCGAGCGGTGGGGGGGGCTGCCCGTAGGGGTGGGGTACCCGCTCGCGCCCGGGCTCACCGGGCCCCCTGTTGTCGCCTCCGTGGAGAGGAGAGGCACCTCCGTCACCCCCCCCCCCAACGGCCTGTGAGAGTTGCCGCCAGAGCGACGTGAGGGTGTCGCGGTAACTCCGC